CTGAACTATGACTGGAAATGGGCTCTGAGTCAGTCGTGATGTCTTAGATAAGTTAACTTTCATTTTCATCTCAGCGAAATAATAAGAACCTCATGGGGTTGTTGTAGGTTTCAACAACAATGCACCCAAACTAGCTAAACCAAGGCCCACCATGAGCAGCACACACATTCAATAAATGGTAACTGTTAATATCTTCTATGTGTGTTATTGGCCAGTGTGCAGAAGCCCACCTGTTTGCAGATAAGAAAGACAGCAGCTTGGCCCAGGTCCAAGGGCTGCTGGCTTTGTCCAAATACATCTTCAGGTACTTTCCACAGATCCTCCAACTATATAAAACCAAGTCCCGCTTCCCAGCCTCACCTTTCTAACTCATCACAGCATGATCTCTAATTCCTTACACATGCTTGCTAATGATTTGCTAGTTAAGTGCAGGTGATTTCAGGTCTGAATCAAACAGCAGAGTGTGGCGGTACTTCAGAGGATTGGGGTGGCCTCAGCAGGTTTACAGTGTGTATTACTGGGTAGGGTGACTGAGAAGATGACAGCTCCTGGGGGTCCTGAGTCAAGCAGATCACAGCTGCTGAGCTCCTACTAGGGCCAGGCCCTTTACATTTGGAATCTGATTGAATCCTCCTAAGCAGCCATGTGAACAGGCGTTATTCCCATTTTACACACGAGGAGACTGTGGAGGTGCTAAATTAATTGTCACAAGTCGTCAGGAGGTGAGATTCAAGGCCAAGCCTGCCTGGCTTCAAAGTCCTTGCTCCTTCTACTACCTACAACCCAGTCCTCTGACAAAGACTCTCCTTTGACCAAAGCTTTAGTTGGGCTCCTGAGTCCTCTCGGAGTAGGTCAGACATTGGGCTTTCCTCTCCTTGTAGAATCCAGTTTGAGCAAGAATCCTGCTAAGCCAGTTTGGCTAAAATCCTTCACCTACCTTTGGTAGCTTGCCCCCCTTGTTATCTCAGGACCCTGGCCTGCCTTCAGCAATAATCCCATCTTATCAATGATTTTGTATATGTTTTTTAACCAGTAACCTCTCATTCTCGATGTTTCCTCCTAGTAATTTCCCACACACTGCCTCTGCCACATGCTGTTACTGGGTTATAAATCCCCATTTGTCCTTATCGGAGTCAGAGTTGAGTCCACTCTCTCTTCCTCACTGCAAGACCCCTCGGTGTGGTTTGTATATCCATCGCAATCCCCTGCCTTCCAGCTCCTGAATAAACTCTGCCTTATCATCTTTAACAAGTATCATAATGTTTTCTTTCAGACCTTCATCACCCATACGGGTTGGACCCCGCACCAAACCCAGGAAATGTTAGGTCTACAGGTGGGTACAGCACATTGCTTGAGCCCAAGAGGATGAGGCCTGTGAAGACAGGGCTGGTCAAGAGGTAGGTGGCCTGGGAAAGGGAGAGTATTCGCTGACACTGGACCCCATATTGGCTTCTTCCCCACGCCCTTTCTCTGGGTTGAGTTCTATCTTGGCCTTGACCCAGCCTCACCTCTGGCGTTCACCTCTTCTAGGTCATACACTAGTGACTGACCTTCAGGGGGCATTCCCTCAAGCCACACTCATGGAGGCACATGTAGAGGATATATCAGGTGAGAGGCAGAATGAGGCAGAGGAGGCTCCACCAGAGCCCAGAACCTTCTGCGGTGCCTATCTGCCCAGGGATACTCAGTCCCGAGATACTCTATTCCCAGTTGTGAGGTGATACAGAGCCCCAGGCATGTTGGAGGCTCAATTTTAGCATAAGCTGGATGTAATTAGCTTTGGTGGGGGGCCAGATCCTCTTACAGAGGACTTCATTGTTCTTGGGAACCTGGCAGGAGTGTTTATCATTTCAGAAACTGAGAAGGCTCTGGCTCTCTCCCTCTTGGCCTCGAGACTGTCCTCCATTCAGATGCTAATCCACAAATTAAGTCCAAGCCAGGTCTCAGATGAAGTTCAGGGCTGGGGTGGAGCCCAAACTCTTATTTCCTTTAGGAACAAGACAGGTGTGGAATCTACACCTGGAAAGCAGCCAAATGGAAACCTAGAGCAACAACTCAGAATGTCACATGTCAAATAACTTAATTGGGTAATCATCTGAAGAAGGGTTTGTGCACAAAATATGCAGGAAGTCTGAACCAAGAGTATGAAGGACTAATCCAAGAAGACAGTTAAGTCTGCCCAAGCCTGCCTTGGCCTCACCCAGCTGCAGGCTCTGAGACATCACTGGATCAATTCCTCCCTGGAGAGCACTGGAAATGGTATCTAACAATCCCCACCTGAGATCCCTGGGCAGTCAAACATTCCTGGATCTGCAATGACATCCTACCCAGAATGCCCACCAACTGTGCACAGTCCTAAACTATAAGCGGCAGTGTAGTGTAATGGTTGCCTGTCTACACTTTGGTTCAGATTGGGTTGGGCCCTGGCTTTGCTGGTTATAAACTGTGTGACTTTGGGTAAGTTATTTCCCTGTGCCTCAGTTTTTCTGTCTGCAAATAAGATGATAATAGGACCTACCTCCTAGGGGAGGTTATAATAATTAAATGAGTTAAGATATGTAAATTCAGTCCAGGTGGTTTCCCTGGATTCTGGAGTGGGCTCTGGAGGCAAATTCTCCTTTCACAAGCCTGTTGCGTATGCAGGGTCCTGATCCTGATATCTGGAACCAACTGAAGCCACCACAGTCTAGTCTCCATAGGAGCTTATGGAGTAAGAGCTTTCACACATCCTGGCAGTAGGGGGCCAGAGTGGGACAGACTTGAATTTCCATAAGATTTCAGCCAGGGGAAATGGTTAACCTTGCCTTAGGGGATAAAGGTCCTCTTCAGGAAAAAGCTGGTTCTGGAAAAGCAAAATTGTATATGTTTACATAATCTTGGGTTTGGTTTCCTTCTGAAGTTAAAAGAGTTAGTTTGTTACATGTTCAATGATTCAATTTTCTTGGTAAATATGTAAACATGCATATGTATAATATGACTCAAATCTATCAATCCTTTCTTCTTTCTATAATAGTTACTGAAGAGAAATAGACACTGATATTTATCTGGTTCCAATTTTATGCCAGGTACCTGATCCACACTTCTCATTTTGCCCTCTTAATGATTGAGGTAGGTAGTACTGTTACCTCTATTTCATAGATGTGGAAATTAAGGCAGAGAGAGGATAAGAAAATCCCCCCAGGTCAAGGAGACTAAAATTCAGGGCTGACTGCAAAGAACCAATTCTTCACAGTGAGTACACAGCATTAGTTTCCCAACCGAGTGACAACTACCTGCCAAGTATTGGTCTAGAATACAGAATGGATCCATCATGTTTCTTGCCCCTTCAAGAAGTTTGTATTCTAGTAGAAGAGAGTTATATACAAACAACTAAAAACATAAAAAACAAAAAGAAAACTATGGGATAGAAGAAATAAGTATAATGGATTGTGAGGAGGCCAAGAAAGGGGTGGTCAGTTCAGCCTGAGAGGACTGGGGAGAGTTCCCAGGAGACGCTGACCCTTGGGGTGGGCCTTGAAGGATAACCTGAACTGTTATGAGTGGAGACTAGGGAAAGGGGAGATGCAGGAGTTTGAGGCAGACAGGACCATTTTTGCAAATGCTTGGAGAAGAACACCGGTGTACTTGGGCATGGAGAATAAATCAGAGTAGCTAGAACATTGGATTTTGGAGCTGGACTGTGACAGGCTTAGCTTTATCAAAGTATTGGGCTTGATTCTTTAAGCCCTAGGGAGCTTCTAAATGCCTCAGATGAAACGCCATGAGCTGATTTTTGCAGAAAGCACCATTTCTGAGAAGGAATGGGGAGGTACATAGAGTCCTGCATCCTTCAGAAATGTACCATCAGCTCCCAATGTCTCTGTCACTGTTGGTTTTGGGAATGAGAATAAGAGAACAGGAGTCCTTTTCCTGTTGAAAGAAGCATGTTGAAGACCAGAACTGCTATGGGGCCCTGGCATAGTGGCCGTCCATAGGTTTGCAAAAGCCTGGCTGTTCTGAATGATGAGAACGTGTCTGCTGCAACAGCCGAACACGTACCATCAAGATGAGGTCTGATGCGCTATCCTTTGCCAGTGGTAACAGTAGGACCCAGAAAGAAACAGGACTGGCATCGGGAACACACTGTGACCATCTTGTAATGTTCAACCCAAATTCTGGCTACAAAACTAGAAGATTGATTTTCCAAATTAACAATTACATGTTCCCCATATAACATGATTTACACTGACTTATAAACTCTACATAAATGTAAATTACACATCTGTGCACAGTATGTTGCATATTTACATATTTGAATATAGACTAGAACAATATTCCATTATATTTTATAAACCAGGTAGCTCTTTTAACATTAGTGCTAGAACTATGTATTTATAATTATCAGGTACCTTCCACTGAGGACCCTCCCACTTTTTCTTTTTTAAATATATATTCTGAAATCATTATTAAAAAATCTGATTGCTTTAGAAAACTGCCCAAAATTCTTTGGCTCTGAAAGAAAATGGAGTGCCAAAGTTTTGTCTAATAACATGACATCTAAAATGGAATCTGAGTCAATCCCAAAGGAAGATATGCTGGTTTTTCGAGACAGCAAAAGAATTCAGTCTTTGGTATCCACCACTTTATTATACATTGGCCCAAATTAGCAGGAGAGCTGTTGGTACTTTAGAGATAACCAGAGTGGGTGAGAGAAGTGATAGGTAGATAATGAGAGAAAAACAACCTGAACTCTCTCTCAGGCCAACCCTGAGCATGCTAAGCATTTATTATTTAGAAGTAAAGAAGATTCAATATCCCCTTGCTAGCTACTCTTTCAGCTCATTTCTCTACTGATGGGGTCATTTTCCTGAGTAAGTGCTTAAAATCAAATGTCTCTTTGTTGGACCACTGATCCAATCAGGAGTTAGCCTGTAGGGTCCCAATAAGCATGAATGGTGGAAAGAATTTATTCCCCTCTATGAAGCAGCCCCTCCCAGAGCTCTCATTCCACAGTGGCTCACCGGGGTCTGCGGAAGGTCAGGCCATAGTGCTGACAGGCTAGCCCCACTGTGGGTGTGTACACAATCGGCATGAACTTCTCCACATCCGAGGTCAGCACTCGGTAGAAAAGCTTCTCATTCCGGTCTTGGAGTGTCATGAGAATGATGTACCTTGGAAAGGGAGAGAAAAAGCAGGCTGACATGTGGTAGCAGCAGGCCCTGATGCCTCTGTGGTATGGTGCAAAGACCCAGGACTCTTGCTACTGCTCAGCTACAAGGGTACATTCACAGGCAAGCCATCTGCCCTGAGCATGAGCTTCAACAGCTATGAAATGTGAAGATGACCTGTCTGTGGTGCTTATTATTATACATGGCGTAGGTACTGTTCTACTGTTCTAAATATTTTACATTAATTCCTTTAAAATTTCCAATGGCTTGTGAAGTAGGGAACATAATTCTTGCCATTTTAGAGGCAAGGAGACTAATGTGGAGAGAAATTGACTCACCCCAGGTCTCATGGCAGGGTAGGAATTTGAATCTAAGCAATCTGACTCTGGAATCTGTGCTCTCAACTACTGTGTATGATGCTTATGATATTATGTGGACATTAATGAATGACAATAGCATAATAATTTTCTGGGGGTGGGGTAGGGTCAAGGAAAATCCTGGGCATATAAGCACTCTATGGACTGGCCTTTCCAGCAACACTGGGCTGGTTCCTGTCACAAGTTTTGATTTCCAAAAATAACCTCGCTTTTACCTATTCCCTGAAACCTGAAATCACTAAGCCAAAAAAAGAGCCTTCCATTCAGACTCCTAAGAATGCAAAAACCTCTGTGAGAGAAAACCTAGGGGCTGAAATTCATAATTAAATGTGACTGCTAATGTCACAGCCTTTCTAGATAATAATCTAGGGGAGAGTACCAAGGTACCTGATGTTTTGGCATGGGGCGGGATGAGAGAAATGCTCTAATAGGGAAAAATACTCTGTGCTCTGGTGAAATGATCACTGGGCATGATATCAGGATCCCAGGTTTGAATCCCAGCTCTGCCGTTTATTAGCTGTGTGAACTTGGGAAAGTCTTGTGTGACCTCTTGGGTCTCAGCCTCTTCCTCTCTACCAAAGGCATTGGTCCTTTGGTGGAAAACTGAAGTGTGTTCTGGAAGGTGTTTTTAGCAAGGGAGGATTGATACTCAGGAATAGCCAGGATCTCAACCCATTGCCAGGGTAGGATTCTCTTACCCAAAAGCCATTTGTGCACATTTTTTCTCAATTCTACATTCAGTTATGTCAAACTAGTAACCTGAAATCAGCCATGGTACAAGCATTTATACTAGGGAATCCGGGAGATGCCATAATTTCCTATCCCACCCCTCATCCCACATAGAGAACCAGTTATAAAAGATTTACCAGCACACCACTGCCCTTACCCTAGAGAAGATGGGGAGTTTTCTTAGCACATCCCCAAGCACCCTGTAAAATGAGGGATTCCTGGGAATAAGTGGGTCAATGTGGTCAATGCAGCATCAGGAGCCAGCCCTGTACAGCTCCCAGGAAAGGGCATACTCTTTTGTCCCTGAGCCTGGAATGTTTCCTCAGGCCTATGAGTGAGGCCCATCTAGATGGAAAGAACTGGGGAGGGAAGGATTTTGGAATTTAACTTTTAGAATTTAATATCTGTAGGAAAGAGGATTTCACTTTGGACCTGATTTCTTCTTTATAAATTTAACAAAAGTAGAAGGTTCAGATTGTTCAAAGTTAGGGCGTGTCTCATCCTGTTAGTTGAATTCATTGTGTAATTTCTGGCTTGCTCTTCAGAGTGACTTAGCTAGACCTAACCAGAGTGAGATTAAAAAAAAGAGGGAGAGGATACTTGGCCTGACTACAGTATGGCCTTGGAATTAATATGAGTAACATCCTTCAAGTTTAGAGTTTTGGGAGTAGGGGTGGGATGGGCAGAGGCTTCCGTGTTCATCACCACTCAGAAGCAATGGATGGTATGGGGGAAACATAGGAATATGAGTGCAGGGCGACCCTGGCATGCTGCTGAGCTCTGCCCCTAAGGGGACAGCCACACGCTCAAGGACCCAAAGTTTTGGCCAGTTTGTTCTATAGTTTGTTTGTTCTAAGAGGGGAATTCCTTATCTTCTTTTTACATTTCTGCTAGAGCCCATGACAAGGTGACATATTTACTTGACAAATGCTGACATAGTACCTACTATGTGCCAGGCACTGTTCTAAGCACATCATGAATACTAAAGCATTTAATCTTTATAACAACCCTATGACTTTTCCCTGTGGTACTCATTGTACCAATGGGAGAAGACCCATATAGGCTAAGTAACTTTTGCTATTAAGAGGTGGAATATAGATTTGAACTCAATGTAGTACTAGAATCTAGTCTTGTAGCCACTGAGCTCTGTTGCTTCTTAGCTGTGGCATAGAAGAAAAATGAAAAGCATAGACTCTGGAGTCAGGTCTCCGTGTCCAAATCCTAGCTATGCCCATTTATAGCCATGCTACCTGGGAAGTAACACCTTCTTTAGTAAAGCTGTTAAAGTTGACCCTGTGATTCCCTATTGGCTCTTTATGTCTGGATCTCCATTGGAGAAGAACGCAGAGAGGGGGCAGGGTTGTTAACTGCTCCCCATAACTTCTAACAAATGATATCTAGGTTCATCCTAAGGCATCCCCTGTCCATTTCCCTCTCCCTGACCATGTCCCCCTAATTCCAGGAACCCAAGCCATGTACCACTTCCTTAACATGCCTGTCTCTACGTCTTTGCTCCACTTCTTCCCTCTTAGTGAAATGCTCTTCCTAAACTCCATTGCTGTCTGCTGAAGTCTTATCAGTGCTTCTTATGCTGACTCAGCTTCTACCACTTCCCAGAGGCCCTCCCAGATTCCAACGGTTAGAATGCAGTTTCTCTTCCCAGTTCCCTCAGGACATGTTGGCTCTGCCTCAGTCATAAAAAGCCTTGTCTCTCAGGGAGACCATGAATCCTTTAGAAGGAAGGGCTGAATCTGGGAAGTCTTCTGGCTCTCAGCCTTTTTTAGCTGGAGAGTTTCCAGAAAACCCTCTGTGAAGCACAGGAAACAGACAGCTCAGCCCAAGGACCAGGCAGAGAGAACAGATGCTAGGTACTGACTTGTCCAGGTCACTCTGCTGCCGCTCGTAATATCTCATGATCCGGAGGAGCTGGACGTCCTGGCTCAGAAAGCAGGGGGGGATTAGGCCGTGGATTCCAAGCTGCAGCCTTTCTTCAAGTGTAAAGGCCATCCCCTGGGAAGAACAAGAAAAAAACACCCACACATAAGTGCATACTTGGGAAACAAAGAAACAGAGGGATGTTCCACCCACAGACAGGCAAAAGTCAGTGTGACTTGGTAGAAAGGGCCCTCAACTCAAATCCCACCTCTGCTATTTAAGTAGGAGTGTCATCTTGTGCCAGTTAACTTTGATGCTTACTTTTAGCTTCCTCATTGGAAAAAAATGGAGAAAATATCTGTATCATCAGGGTTTCTCTGTTTTTGGTTTTGTTTTGTTTTGAGATGGAGTCTCATTCTGTCACCCAGGCTGGAGTGTAGTGGCGTGATCTCATCTCACTGCAACCTCCACCTCCTGGGTTCAAGCAGTTCTCCTGCCTGAGCCTCCTGAGTAGCTGGGATTATAGGCGTGCACTACCACGCCCAGCTAATTTTTGTATTTTTAGTAGAGACAGGGTTTCACCATGTTGGTCAGGCTGGTCTTGAACTCTTAACCTCATGATCTGCCTGCCCCAGCCTCCCAAAGTGCTGGGATTACAGGCATGAGCCACTGCACCTGATGGTTTTTCTGTTTTTTTTTTTTAATATATGTTTTATTTTATTTTTTGGAACAGTGATATGGTTTGTCTCTGTGTCCCCACCCAAATCTCATCTTGAATTGTAATCCAAATCCATAGTCCTAATCACTGGTGGGAGGTGATTGAATCATAGGGCGGGTTTCCACATGCTATTTTTGTTATAGTGAGTGAATTCTCATGAGATCTGGTTGTTTGATAAGTGTCTGGTGCTTCCCCCTTTTCTCTCTCTCCTGCTGTCATGTAAGACTCGCCTGCTTCCCATTCCCCTTCTACCATGATTGTAAGTTTCCTGAGGCCTCCCTAGCCACGTGGAACTATGAGTCAATTAAGCCTCTTTTGTTTATAAATAACGTAGTCTCAAGTAGTATCTTTATAGCAGTGTGAAAATAAACTAATATAAACAGTATTTACAGAAAAACTGAGAAGACAGTTCCCATATACCCCTTCATCCAGTGTCCCTGATTATTAACATTTGACATTAGTAGTATAAGTCCATTAGAGTTAATGAACCAATAATTATCCATTATTATTGACTAAAGCCTTTATTCAGATTTTTAAAAGTTTTTATCTAACACACATATATATATAGATAAATATATGTATTATTAATATATATTATTTATATTATATATATATTTTGTTCCAGGACGCCATCCAGGATCCCATATTAAGTTTAGTCATCGTTTCTCCTTATGCTCCTCTTGGCTCTGACAGTTTCCCAGATGTCCCTTGTTTTTGATGACCTTGACAGTTTGGAGAAGCCCTGGTCAGGTATTTTGCACATACCCCTCTACTGGACCTTGTCTGATGTTTTTATTATGGCTAATGGGTTTTTGGAAGGAAGATCACAGAAGTAGAGTGCCATTTTCTTCACATCAGACTAAGGGTACATATAATAAATGTGATTATCACTGTTGATATGGACCTCAATTAGTGGCCAGAGTCATGCTTATCAGGTTTCTCCGCTGTAATGTTACTCCTGCTTACTTCTGGCCTTGGCCATTGGGAGTATTCTCAGTTGGTTCTTGGATTTCTTTGATATACTACCCATAATGTAGTGGTGGTGGGTTTTTTGTTTGTTTTATTTTGAAATTCCTTACTTTCTGGCATTACAAGATGCTCCAGGTTCATCCTGTACATTGCTAGCTGTGGTCCTAGACTAAGCCATTTCTTCAAGGATCCCAATTCCTTTTTTGGAGCATGGTATTAGAAGGCAACATTTGGGTACTACTTAATCCTGTGTCCCTTAGATATTTCAAGTCCCTCTCAGTTGGCAGAGCAAGGAAATATACATGTGTATGTTAAAACACAACATATGAATGAATGAACAAAATGTCTATACATGCAATGAAAATGTATTCAACAATGAAAAGGAATGAAGTTCTGCTCTGTGCTGCTTCATGGATGAACCTTGAAAACACTGTGCTAAGTAAAATAAACCAGACACAAAAGGACTAATATTATGTGATTTTACTTATATGAAATGTCTGGAACAGGAAAATTAATAGAGACAGAAAGTAGCTTTGAAGTCCCCATGGACTTGAAAGAAGGCAAGTGATGGCTATTGATTATTGGTTACAGAATTTCTGTTTGGAGTGAGAAAAAGTTTTAAAAATGGATAATGGTGATGGTTGTACAACATTGTGAATGTACTTAGTGCCACTTAATTGTACAATTAAAAATTGTCAAAATGGCTAATTTTATATTATATATATTTTACCACCGCTTAAAAAACTACTAAGGTAATATATCCCAAATTGTTGAATTATACAACCTTAAATGGGTGAATTGTATGGTATAAAAATTATATTTCAAAAAACTTTTTTAAAAGAGTTCTTTGCATGTTTTGAATATAAGCCCTTTACTGGACACGTATTATGTAAATATTTTTCCTAGACTGTGGCTTGTCTTTTCATTCTCTTGGCAGTGTCTTCACAGACCAGCATTTTCTAGTTTGAATGTTGGGGAGCAAGATGGGGAATAAGAAGATGTCATGGAATCTCTGACCTGGTCATAAGCAAACTCTGTAGAGACAATGTTTGCTGGAAGAAGTTACAGAAACTGTACTCACAAGAGATACTGTGAGAATGGGACACAGGCTGCCTCACCTTTATCCCAAGATGAGAAGGTCCAACACATGGTAAAAAACAGACTTTTTCTGTGTAGAAGTCAGGGTGGCCCTCCTGGGGTGAGGGCTACCCTGAAACTGGAGCTCCTGGAGACACTTCCTCAGCTTTCTCATGGAAGGCCCTAGCAACACTAACAATAGTGATCCCCTGAGTTGCTCCATGGGTGGTAGACATCAAGAAGGAAGGGGCCAGAATCCCCAGCGGGGTGGGGGGTATTATGCAGGACTGCTAATGTGACTCCTGTTGAATTTAAGGCTGATCAGAGCTGGGGCAACTCTGGTTAAGTCTTTCATCTATACTGAGTCCCAAATAATGCAAGTTTTCTCCTAAATGTGAAGAAAGCTGTGTGGGTGATAAATGAGACTTCGATTATGCTGTTGGCAGGCAGCTTCCCCCAGATTCCCTTGGGGAGAGAAAACCCACAAAGGTAGGGAGCATCAGAGCTCCCTTTATTCCTCTGCCACTCGAAATGATTTCATCCAAAACTATTACAAGCCCTTCGATAGGGAATTACGAACCACAGGGAGATTCAAACCCATATACTGATTATCCACACCGTATAGGTGTTGCTATCATCAGCTCTAAGGAAGAGACTTTAATGAATATCTAATCTTATTCTAAACTTTCCTTACAGCCACATTGAGAGGGAGGTTTTACAACCTTCTGTTTACAGATGAGAAAGCTAAGCAGGAGAGGTTACAAAATGCTCCTGAAGTTCCATGGCTGTTACTTCATACTCTATTGCTTCCTATACCAGGATGCATTTTGTAATCAGTAAGTATACTGGGTGTGATAAATTTTTTTTCTGATAATTTTCTTTGCCTAGAGGTAAGTGATAAAACCATTTGTATTCTTGTCACTATAGTATACATCCTCCAAGGACCTTGATGAGATGGACCTCAGAAAATGTGGTAGGGTATCAGGGGAGTTGTGAGAAAGGAGTGGATAAAAAAAGAGAGGGCTGGGGGCAGTGTCTCAGGCCTGTAATCTCAGGACTTTGGGAGGCTGAGGCGGGTGGATCACTAGGTCAGGCGTTCAAGACCAGTTTAGCCAACATAGTGAAGCCCTGTCTCTACTAAAAAAATACAAAAGATTAGTTGGGCATGGTGGTGGGCAGCTGTAATCCCAGTTACTTGGGAGGCTGAGGCAGGAGAATCACTTGGACCTGGGAAGCAGAGATCACGCCACTGCGCACCAGCCTGGGTGACAATGCGAGACTCCATCTAAAAAAAAAAAAAGAAAGAGAGAAAAAGAGTGAATGAAAGTTAGGCTTCTTGGCTACTCTCAATTTCCTCTGTTTTGTGATTTGGGATCTTTAAAACTTTGAATACTGTGCTTCTTTTGTATTTTTACAAAGTAATAAAGGCAACTTATGATACAATCCAGATTGTTCCTCCTTACAAAAGAACTGAAAGAATTGTTTGAAAGATCTATCTTAAGAGAGGCTTTACTCTGTTTGAGAGTATGACTCACAGAGACCTCTTAAAGTGATTCGCACATATAGTCCCCCAATTTTTCTTTATCAAAACCCCACACCACCAGTTCATAATCCCCTGTGTTGTTCACTAGCTTTTCAAGCAGGGAGCAACACTGAGGTCCCAGATTTTTTTTGCAGGAAACCACCTTGCCCTGCAGACTGAACACTTTCACCAAATGCTTTTAGGCAGGTGACTGTTCGCTGCCTAGATAAAGACTGTGATCCCCTTTCTTAAGCCTAGAGCATCCTGGGGAGGCATCTAATTATGACATCATTTTTGTTAATGATCACCATGGCCTTTAACAACAGTCCACTTCTATCTACAAGGAGAAATGTTTTTCTTGGCTGACTGCCACTACTTTTGTATTTGAGGAAAAAGTATGACTTTTTAGCAACTGGTAATTTCAGGGATTAAAAATAATACTTCTTGAAGCTACTATTCATCTTGAAGCTAATGTTAAGGCAACCTCAGATTTACAAGTCTGCAAAGCAGAAATACAGGCATTGTAGTTGCACCAAAGCCTCCATCATAGAACAGGCACAAGACAGTTCTCTAGGGCTTAAGGAGGAAGTGTGAGAACTTATATTTCTCTACAAAAGGAATAAACTTTGCTAACTGGCACTCAGGTGCTTGTTCTGTAGATGTAAAAAAGTCGTGAAGTATACGAGGAGTCCGAACGTAAGAGTAGGGACTGCACAACATGTACAAGTCAGAGGAATTGATGGTGGGACCCTTATTTGACCCTTATTCATTCTTAACACATTGAGAAGTTATAGTTTCTGTGTGTCTAGCAAATAGAGTTACAGATTATATTATCTAGTTTTAACAAAA